TGCTGTGTTCATCCAGCTCTGCACCTTGTTGTCAAGGAGTTTTAAAAATCTTTTCTTTTTATTCTCTCGTGGGAAAAGGGAGTTGTTGGCTGGGCCAGCATTTATTGCAGGCCCCCAGTTGCCCTTGATAAGGTGGTGGTGAGCTGCCTTCTTGAACTGCTGCTGTCCATGTGTTGTTAGGGAGGGAATTCCAGGATTTCACCCAACGACACTGGAGGAACAGTCACATATTTCCAAGACACAATGATGAGTGGCTTGGAGGGGAACTTGCATGTGTTGGTATCCCATGCTTGTGTGGCACGATTGTTACTTGTCACTTCTCAGTTCAAGCTTAAATATTGTCCAGGTCTTGTTGCATATCGACACAGGCTGCTTTAGAATCTAAGGAGTTGCAAATGACACCGAACATTGAGCAAACATGAGTGAACATTCCTAGTTCTGATCGTATCATGGAGGGAAGGTCATTGATGAAGCAGTTGATGATGATTGGAAAATCTGTCTATCTCCTCCTTAAGTTTATTCTGTGTCCTGGTGTCCACTGCATTATGGAGTAAGGAATTTCACAGAGTCATGATGCTTTGATAGAAGTAATTCCTCCTCATCTCTGCTACTCTTAGCCTAAAATTATGACCTTTCGTTCTAAATTGACGTACAAGAGGAAACAGCATTCTATGTTCTCTTTGTCGATCCCCTTTAGCAACTTGGTCAAAGAAGTAGGCTTTTGGAAGTGATATAAAAAGAAGAGAGAGATAAAGGTATTTAGGGAGGAAGTTCTAGAACTTAGGTATCTAAAAGCATAGCAGCCATTAGTGAAGTGAAGGTAAATCAGAGATATGGCAAGGGCAAGAATTGTAAGTATGTAACAAGCTCAGCAGAAGATCTTATGGCATTGTTGTAAATCACCAACTCTAGCCCAGAACCCTCTAGGGTCAAGTCCCGCTCCAAATCACCTAATGGCAGTCGATGAGAGCAGGTCAGACAGCCTAAGAAGGAAATGGTAAACCACTACAGTATTTTGTCCATAACTGTTTTTCTATATTCATTTGTGGAATGACTGCACCGCTAGTTGCCCTTGAGAAGGTGGTGGTGAGCTGCCTTCTTGAACTGCTGCAGTCCACCTGCTATGGCTTGACACATCAAATGCCATAAGGGAGAAAATTCCAGGATTTTGACCTAGCGACAGTGAAGAAATGGTGATATGTTTCCAAGTCAGGATGGTGAGTGGTTAGGGTTAGGACTAGGGTTAGGGTTAGGACTAGGGTTAGGGTTAGGTGGCTTTGTGGAGAACTTGCAGGTGGTGGTGTTCCTGTGTATCTAACCTCAGTGGTGGGAAAGTTATTAGAAGGACTTTTAACGGACAGAATATAACTGCACTTGAAGAGACAAGGATAGTCAAGGCTAGTCAGCATGGACTTGTTAAGGGAATGTCACATTTGATGAATTTGATTTTTTTTTGGGTAGGTAACCAGGAATGTTGATAATGACAATGCATTATATTTGGTCCTACATGGACTTTAGGAAGGTTTTTGATAAGGGCCAACTGGTCAAGAAAGTAAGAGCCCACGGGATCCAAGACAAAGTGGCACATTGGATCCAAAATGGCTGAGAGACAGGGGGCAGAGGGTATTGGTGGAGGGATGGTTCTGTGATTGAAAGTCTGTTGTAAGGTTCCACAGAGGTCATGGCGCTATTTACAATGTACAACAATGATTTCGACTTAGATGTGGGGATTATGATCAAAATGTTTGTGGCCGACGCAACATTTGGTAGGGTGGAAAATGGGAGAATTTTCATAAACCACAGAAGGACATCAATGGAGTGTTCAGGTGGGCAGAGCAGTGGCAAATGGAATTCAATCAGAAACATGCAAGATAATGTACTTGGGGAGGGTTAACAAGGCAAGGGATTACACTGTAAGTGGCAGTACTGATGATCAGAAGCATTTTGATATGTATTTCACAGATCCCTGAAAGCAGTAGGGTGGGTAGATAAGGTGGTTAAGAAGGAATATGGGATATATGACTTTATTAGCAAAGGTATAGAATACGAGAGCAGAGAGATCATGCTGGAACTGTATAAAATGAGAGTTAGGACACAGCTGCATGTAGTTCTTGTTACCACATTATAGGAAGGATGTGGGGCTCTCTTGTGGTGCAGTGTTAGTTTGCTACCCCTTTTCCAAGAGACCTGAGTTCAAGTCCCACCTGCTCCAGAGGTGTGTAATAACATCACTGAGCAGGTTGTTCAGGAACATAGTTATATGAAGGATGTGATAGCACCAGAGAGGGCACAGAGAAACTTTTCCAGGATGCTGGTGGGCCTGAGCTCTGAAAAAAAGTTGGATAGGCTGGGGTTATTGTCCTGGGAGCAGTGAAGTTGATAGGAGAACTGATAGAGGTGCGGAACATTATGCGGGGCATAGATAAGGTAGCTAGAACAACATTATTTCTAGTTGTAGAGGGGCCAATAAGCTGGCCATGAATTTAACGTAACAGTTAGAAGCTGAGAGGAGAGTCAAGGAGAAATAGTTTCACCCAGAGGGTGACCTCACTGCCTGGAAGGGTGATTGAGTTAAAACCTCTCATAACATTTAAGCAGTTTTTAGATATTCACTGATAATACCATAGCCTTCAGGAGAATGGAATTAGTGTAGTGTGGTCAGACCTTTGTTGATCAACAAGGACATGATGGGTTGAACGGCCTCCTTCTATGCTATAAATGTCTATGAGCAAATGTTGCTTGTCACTTTTCAGCCAAAACTGGATTTTTTTGTCAAATTCTTGCTGTATATGAACATAGATTGCTTCAGCATCAGAGGATTTGTGAACAGCGTTGAACACTAAAATCATAGGGAACATTCCCACTAGAAGGAAGGTCATTGATAAAGTAGCTGAAGATTTTTGGGCCTAAGACACTACGCTGAGGAACTCTTGCAATGATATCCTGGAGCGGAGATGATTGATCTCTGACAACCATCACCATTTTCCTATGTGCCTGGTATGATGCCAACCAGCAGAGATTTCCCTCTGAGACCCATTGACTCCATTCTTGCTAGAGTCCTTCATGTCCAAAACACTCCTGGACTGCTTTGATGTAAAGTGTGGTTACTTGCCTCTGGAGTTCAAATCTTTTGTCTATGTTAGGCCGAAGCCTGCAATAGGTTCAGGAGCTGAATAGTTCTATTCAAGCCCAAACTGAGCATCAGTGAACAGACTAATTATTTCTGAGTGAGTGCATCTTGATGGCCAGTTTAGACGGCTCCCCAAATGCTTTACTAATGATCAGGAGTGGATTATTGTGGCAGTAATTGGCTGGGTTGGATTTATTCTGCTTTATGTGGCACAGAAAATACCCAGGCAATTTTCCACATTGTAAGCTAGATGTCAGTGTTGTAACTTCATTGGGACAGTCTGACTAGCGCTGCAGTTAGTTCTATAGCATTCTTCAGCACTATTACTGGAAATGTCGTCAGGGTCCATAGCTTTTGCAGTATCCACTGAATTCAGCCATTTCTTTACATTATGTGGAGTGAATCGAATTGGTTGAAGACTGTCATCTGTGACATTGAGGAGTTCAGGCAGAGCTCGAGATGGATTATTCCTTCAGCCCTTTAGGCTGAATGTGGGTGCAAATGCTTCACTCCTGTTTTTTGCCCTGATATGTTTGTTGACCCCATCATTGAGGATGGCATAGTGGTGAAACCTCCTCCTCGTGTTAATTGTTTAATTATCCACCACTGTTCACAAATGGGTGTAAAAGGACTGCAGAATTAGATCTGATCCAGTGGTATTGGATCGCTTTATACTTTGCATC